AGAAAAGGTGGCGGAACTCAAACCTGGCCACGCCCTCATCAAACCCTAGGACCGCCCCTTTAGAGAACAGGAATGCAAGTAAAATTTGGGAGGGGCTATTTCCGGTGTGGGAGGGGCTATTTCCGGTGCGGCCGGCCCGGAAAAAGGTGCCGGAACGCGGTTCCGCCGCGTTCCGGCTGAAAAAAAGCCCTGGTACTAAGTACTAGATTAATAGCAGTCTTGCTATTTTTAAACTGTCATGTTAGATCAGAAGTGTTGGTGCAGGCAAATGCTATAGCAATACCATAAAAAGATTCTCACAGAAGCTTCTCCAAAAAGTGAATAGAGATTATTATTTATTTAATGCATATCCTGCCTTTGCTTTGTACATTCAAGGTGGTTACAGTGGATTTTACTGATTGGATGTTATATTTTATATTCTATATTCTATAAATTCTCACCCTATAAATGCATTGTAACCCTGTCTTCAATTTTATTTGCTCATTGTTGTAATTGTAGATCTTACTATATTTAATATAGTTTTAATGTTTACAGTATAGTCCAACATAACTGTGATCCTGGATCTTATTTATTACGTGCTAGTTACGGTCTTCTTCATTATTTGTACTGGTTTTTGACTGTAATGAACTAAACTGTATAGTTTATGTTATATAGTTTCTTTATCCTTCAGATCACATTTTTATCACTCACATTAGGCAACTAATTATCAATTAATGATATTTTCAATTATCACATTTTTCTGAACTGCAAAGATGAAGTAATAGTCACATTAATCAATCAGTCAGGAATATAATTATGTACAGAAAGGCTGCTGATTATCTCATCTATTTCTTTGGCATGTCTTGAAAAGGGTTTAACTGAAAAATACATTTCTTTAGAAAGTTGTAGCAGGATTCTTTTTTCTAATAACAAATGTTTTGACCCAGTGGTTAGAATGCAGCATTGCAGGCTAATTCTGCTGACTGCAAAGGGTTCGATCCTCACCAGCTCAAAGTAGACTCAGGCTTCCATCCTTCTGAGGTTGGTAAAATGAGGACCCAGATTGTTGGGGGCAATAGGCTGACTCTCTGCTTAGAGAGTCGGTAAAGAACTATGAAGTGGTATATATGTCTAAGTGCTATTGCTATAAAATTGGTTCTAAAATGTTTTTGAAATTTCATAACCAAATATAAATTTCCACCAGTGTAATGGTGGAAATCATTGGACAGGAATGTTGAATGAGTTCCCATCCTCCCTTAGGCATGGAAGTTGGCTGGACGATATTGCACCAGTTACTCACTCTCAGTCCAACTCACCTGTTATTGTAAGGAAAATAGGAAGAGGGAGCATTATATATACCACCTTGAATGTACAAAACAAAGGCAGGCTATGCATCAAATAGATAATACTCCATTCACTTTTTGGAGAAGCTTCTGTGAGAACCTTGTTTATTTGAATAAACAGTGAAGCTGATTGCGAAGCTGATTGTTTATGTCTTTGCCATTTAGGTTCATGCCCATGTCTTTGCCATTTAGGTTCATGACCATCCTTCGGTACTTTGATCTTTAGCTATATAAAAAATAAATTACCTAGCTCAATCTGTTTGTTTTTTTTAATTGCTGATATGGATGTCCTTAATAGAGAAACTGATCTGATAATAACAACTCTGGATGGTATGGCACTCTCTCTAAAATTGGGTGATTTCTGGACCAGGCATTGTCCACATTATGGATGCTCTGGCCAGTATTGCCCATCTCTAAAGAAGTTTGATCTGAACTTAGAGATCCATGCTTTAATTACTTCTCATTAAGACTTCTGAGATGAACTGTGCAATCACTTTTTGATATGTACTTTGCTTACCACATTAGTTTAGCCATATATTAGTTGCACATATCACCAAATTATTTGTGGGCATTATTCATGATAACCCTTCTCTGTTATGCCCTTAATGATTTGGTGAATGTGATATATAACATGATTAATGTATTTTTACAATTCTGTGTTTAGTTTAAAGTTTGTTTTCAAATCCATGTTCTGCAACTATGAATAGGGAGATGGATGGAAACACGAGACAATAGTTTTTCAATAGCAGACTCTAGATTGTGGTACCTCCTTTCTAAGTACATCAAAGTGGCTCCTACCTTACTTGTGACTGAATATTATAAATAACATTATTCTTATGAGGCTGTTGTTATTATGTTCATAATATTATTACATATGTTTAACTTGTAAGTCATTTTGGAAAAAAATGTTCGGCTGCAAACCAATGAATTAATAATCTGGTCAATAAATAGCAGTACTGAAGATTCCATATTATGTATAGCATTTTTTCCGAGACTAATCTCGTAAATCTTGTTTTCAAGATTGTATGTATTGAAAAAAAAACCCCTCTTCTTTGTTTACAGGCTTCTCAATGCAAATAAGATCAACTGCCTGAGAGTAAACACATTTCAAGATCTGCATAATCTTAATTTGTTATCTCTCTATGATAATAAACTTCAGACTATCAGCAAAGGACTTTTTGCTCCTCTTCAGACAATTCAAACATTGTGAGTATTGAGTTATATTATATCTGTATTCTTTCTTCTTCCTCAGGAGTACATCCTATAGATCAGAGGTCCCCAATCTTTTGGGTATCAGGGACCGGTTCTGTGGAGAGAGGTGTGTGGTTTTGTGTGCTGCCTGCATCTCGTGGATGGGGCTTTGCTTGTTTGTGTGGCCCAGTTGCCGGTATGCCGCAGCCTGGTACTGGTCCATGGACCCGGGGTTGGGGACCCCTCTATAGATGGTTCCACAAATGAAAGTCTTAGCTGAATCTTTGATCCTGCCCAAACTGCTAACTTTGAACTTTAGTAGATTGATGTAGTAGAGGAAGAAATCAAACAATTAAATAATTCAAGCCCACAAAAAAGAGAGAGCGAAAGAAATCAAGTTATAGGAGTCTAAACAATAGAAAATTAGACAAATGACATAACAGAAAGAGATTACAATACTGAAATAAAGAGAATAATGGCAAAATTTCTGGCATTATTTCAAAATCTGCATTTTGTTCTATATTCTTTATATAATTCAAAAACAAAATAAGATCATGTTCCATGCTATTTTCATCCTTAATTTAAGATAATTAGAGAACTTAAAAGCAGATTTATAGATTTATGTTTTGGCAATAGCCAAAAAGCACACTCCAATAAAAAGGTTCCACTGGTATTCTTTCCAACCCAATAGAATGTTGAAAATATACCCTAGGGAAGGCAGATGGGAAGCAATTGAAAATGCTGCCGGCTGCTCCATATTTGAACACTTTTCCTCCCTCCCCCAACTTGATCACATAACCCAGAGCAGCCCTTACATTGCCTGCTGTGGACTTCTTAGTGCACACATACTAGAAATCACATAGATTCCTCACTTTGGTTGTTACACAAAAGAAAATGTAAATGCCTACTATGGCTGTTGGTGGTAAAGGAATGGGAAGAATTTAAGAAGCCTTGCTTTTCCTAGCTTTTTTTTGAAAGTACACCATCATATGAGTGAATTTTTGCTTCTCTTTTCAGTGTTGCTAATGATCACAAATCTGCTTCATGTTATTGGGTTGCTGTTGCTGCTGGCTTTTCTAAGCTGTATTGTTTTGCTTTAGAATACTGATAAATTTGTATTCTAAAGCAAGCTTTCTATATTGTTTCAATGGTGGTGGTGTTGACTACTGTTGTAGAGCCTGGTTCTGTTTCAGGATGTTGCATAAGGTACCTAATAATATCTTTTCATCTTAGGCAAAATCCAACATTGTCAAGTTCACTTACACAAAGACATCTTTTCCTTTCTGTTTTTCCTGCATGTCTTCCCAAATCTCTTCAATTGTCTATTTTTTTCTAGAGATACTGTTGAACTGTGGGATCCTTGGTGCTTTCTGAACTTGGTTGTTAGAGTTAGATAATCTTTTAGAGACAATCAAAAGGAAACAAAAAGCCTAAAACACCTCCTCATGAGCAATTAACATCCAGACGAGCAGAGATTAACTCCATGATTAATCCTAGATGAATTATCAAGAAGCAAACAATAGCCCAACCAAGGAACTACAGTACCAGTTCGGACAAACAAGCTAACAGTAAACAACAGCCTAATCAAGGAACCACCAAGAACACTTACACCAATACTGACAGGGAAGCCACCAGTATATAGAGAAAATAGAGAGCAACCTCACTTCCTTTTACCTAATTTGGTAATGAAACATCTTCAAGAAAGCAACCAAGTTCAAAAAGCACCAAGGACCCCACACTTCAACCCTGAACTAAAATACTCTCTTCTATCAATAATGTTAATAACATATGGCAAAAGAGAATTCAGTGGTAAGGAGACTCACCATCCACATTATATTGACAGAAATAGATTCTGCAGCAGATTGACTTAATTAGATTTAATTGGATTATACTACTCTATGTGTGATACATTCCAGTTTCACAGAGAATGATAGTATGAATTACGACTGAAGTATGCAATAAACTCAAATAAGCAGTAGGTACATTCAGATAAGTTACATCTTGTCAAACCATTGCTCCTTGATTCTTTGTTCCTGCTAGCAACACCATCTCAAAACTGGATTTCCCACTCCCTTGCCTTGCTCTGAGATTATATCTCCTTAGAATTATTTCTTTGATGTCTTTCTGCAAGTAAAATATTCAGAATCATTCTCTAATAAAAAATATGTTTCTCAGAGATAATCTAATTTCATTTTGATTATTCTCCCCAAGTAATACTACCACATTATCATACTTTTGATTATGTAGCTGTTAAAATATTATTTTTTCATTTTGATACATATTTGTTTTCATTATGTTTTATACTAAAGAAAGTATCAAGATGCAAGGATTAAGAGAAGATCAACATTGTTTAAGTTTTACATGATATACACACCACCTCTTGACAGTTTCTTGGATTCACTGAAAGATTTTGAAATTTTTTAAACAATGAAAAAAAAAACCCTAGGCTGCTTGGCTCCATCAGGATGTTTTGGTAAAATATTACTAGAAGAATCTAGCTAGGTTAAGTCTTTAGGATTATTTGCTACTTTCCATTCTTCTTCTCATTGATTTAAATTGTTGAAATGTTATGTGATTGTGCCTTCCATTAATTGGTATCCAAAGCCATCTAGGCTTACAACACCTTCTCACAAAATAGTTGTATCAGTGGTTGTCATTTGAAACTTCCTCACAATGATACCTGCTCAGAGTGATGAGCATTTTTAGGTGTACTATCTTACCATAATAACTCATGTAGCATAGCATCTTTCCACTCTATAATTAAATACCCCATCATGGAGATAACTATACAGTTCAAGTTAAGGAACATGAATAATTTCTAAATGTTTATAGTTAGTTGTTTAATCAATACTTATCATCAAACAGAAAGGTTTTTTTCCGGAACCAATTATGTTATATGTTTATATCCAATTTTTATTATATTGCTTTAGTATGAAAAAAGAAAACAAAAGAGAAACAATTTGTTATTTATTAATGTAGTAGAAAGATAAGTAACATTTATCTTTTTACTACATTAATCAATAACAAATTCATAAATAGAGAGTCAACATGTCATCAAGCCAAGATTTGTAAATCTGGGGCAGCAATATCTTTCTACTCAAAATGAATAAATTTGTTTTGTTATATCTCACACACAGAAAATCTGTAGTTCACTGTATAGTAATATATTCCTCATATTTTGTCTATAATTCAAAATCATTTTCAGAACTTTAAACTAACCACACTTTCCACATTTGTGGATATTAAAGTAAACTAAAGTAAAATAATAATGGTCAAACTCATATCTGTGGCATAGCACAGATACAACCTTGGGGAAATTATGTGGTGATCATTAGTGAAATATAAGTTTATCCTGGAAATTCTAGAAAGCAAGAGAAAGAATTAAAGATTGTCCCACCTTAACTCTCTTTAATATAAAACAAAGAGAAGGGGAAATGCTGGCAGAATTTCAAAATTCTATTATTACAGATAAGTAGATTTCTACCATTTCTTGTCATGTCTGTTTCCTGACCAAACCTACATTGAAGAGCTGACAATACCATATATCAGGGGTCCCCAAATCCTGGTCCATGGACCAGTACCGGGCTGCGGCATGCCAGCAACTGGGCTGGAAAAACAAGCAAAGTCTCATCCGTGGGATGTAGACAGCACACAAAACCACACCCCCTCTGGTCCATGAAAAAACCTCTCTCCACGGAACTGGTAACTGGTGCCCAAAAGATTGGGACCTCTGCGATATATATAAACGCCTCCTCCATTAATTTAAATTTTTGCTGTAATAAAGATGTTAAACTTTTTAAAAATCTTCAATTAAATTAGTCTCATTTGAATTTTATAAATTGTATTTTTTTTAAAAAAAACCCACAACCTTAATTATAATGTGTCAATATTAGCTTTTCTAATATTTCCAAAGTTCCTGCAAATAACTAACAACCGTCTTAAAAGTAGTTTTGTTTCTATATAAAAATTACTATAGATTTAGAATCGCCATAAGGACATTTCTGTTTTGATAAATAATCCAGAAATTTTGTCTGGCCTAAACAATGAAATAGTAGTAATAAAAGTAACAGAATCTACTGATTTGTTGAAGATTTAGATCATCCAAAGATGAAATACATTAGAACGTAGATGAAATACATTAGAACCTTCGATTCTTCTACATATTTCGTAGTGCCCTGAGGTATACTAGTTTACAATACAACCTTTAGAAAGTGTTAATTTTGTGACAAAAAATAGTTTAAATCTGTTCCTTCTAAAAAGATTAATTGACTGTAATATATGGTGACCAGTTTTTGTAGACAATAGGTCTATGCCCTTTAAAAAGAGACTTTGTTATATTAATTTGTGTTTCCTTCTAGAGAAGGCTCACTGCTGACTTAACAAGCTAAAAAAAAAATAGATGGCTCACAGAATATTCCCCCCCCCCCATACAAGTCTTAACTCCATCCAGCTTCTGCCAGACCCAGTGTATTGGAAGCTGATTCAATTACTCTGCTCTTCAGTTGTGTATTTGTAAAAACAATGATGGAGTACAGTGTCACAGGTCATTTCTGGTTAAACATCCCATCCCTCTTGCAGGCATTTAGCTCAAAATCCATTTGTGTGCGACTGCCATTTGAAGTGGCTGGCTGATTACCTGCAGGATAATCCAATAGAAACCAGCGGAGCTCGATGCAGTAGTCCGCGTCGTCTTGCCAACAAACGAATCAGCCAGATCAAGAGCAAGAAGTTCCGTTGCTCAGGTAATTCATTTATCCAGGCTGTGCTGCACTTTGAGTTCAGAAATAAGCAGGTCCAGGGAGCCTACTAATCCAATCTGTGGGACAGTGTTTGGTATAATGGATATTATGTAGCATCTTTCTAAAATTAAATTTGAGAAATTGGATTAGTCCTTCAGAAAATCTAGTTACTTTGTGCATTAAACGAGAGAGAGACCTCTGCCTTTCATTTTGGTTTATTTGGCTATTTGGTTAAAAACTAGGTTTTTTCTTTTTAAAGAATGCAGCCTTGGACACTGCCTTCAAAAAAAGGTGATACACAAGATCCTGGGTATCCTTTTTTTTTTAAAAAAAATAGTAAAATAATTCAGATATGTTTTGGCCAAATTCATAGAAGTTTCTTACTTCATTTTTTTAAATCTTGCTGACCAAATAAAAGCTCAGTCGGGGATGCTTTTCTGTGAATCACTCAAAGAACAAGACTAAGAACAAGGATCTTTGGAGAGCTGAGGAGATTATTGTAACACTGCATTTTAAAAATATAAGATGAGATGGGAACCCATAACATCCACACTATAATAAAAGTAAAACACAATAGTAAATTAAAATATGGAAAAAAATACATTAAAATGTAATTTTATCCTGGAAAAAAAGAAGAAAAACAAAAGACTAAAGCTAGAGTGATAGTCCACTTCAGTTTCCATAACACATCTGGTTTTGTTCTTTTGATGTTTAAAAATTAAATGGATAGTCTATGTGGATTTGGTGGACTAAAAGTCTTGCAAATCTGGGTTCACAAACTGTTAAATGTGTAGGAAGACAATGACAGTAAAAAACAAATATTTCCATCAGTTGTCTGATAATTCCATGCCATGCCATGATAAACTACAGTAAAAATAGTCTGATCAACCTTAACTTTTAATCTATTAATTTTAATGTTGCCAAAGTACCTGAATCAGATGATGCAATATTTACACACACACACACACACACACACACAGAGAGAGAGAGAGAGAGAGAGAGAGAGAGAGAGAGAGAGAGAGAGAGAGAGAGAGAGAGAGAGAGAGAGAGAGAGAGAGAGAGAGAGAGAGAGAGAGATTAAAATATTGTGAGTTTGATCCATTGGAGTCCTTCTACTAGAAGATGACAATGAATAAGATTGTTAACTTTCCTACTGTCCCTCCCTCTCATCACCAATCTGCTCTCAAGGGTAGAGGGGTATTTTAATGTAGATCTGGGAGGATGTGAAGGTTATACAAGGGGAGAAAAGCAAAGACTTATTGTGTGACAAAAAGTGTATCACTGTAATATTTGTATTGTATGATGATTTTATATGGACTCAAAATATTAATTGCATCCAGGTTCCTATAGCTGAAATATTTCTTTATTCAACTTTGTGTTCTTATAAATTTTGGCTTGTTCATATTCTAAAGTCCTGTCAGATATGCGATTTATAATTTTAGTGATGACATAATTTATTAGTTCAAGAAGCTTAAAATATAGACTGAATTTTAGATGTTGAAAATTCATTAATGGGACTAAGTAGAAAAAATACTATCATTGATGTATAATCTTAACATACTTAAATACTAAAATAATACAGTTGTCTTTTTCATCTTAAAAAAGGGGACCATCATGCATTGCATTTAAATTTCCTGACAAAATTGTCACCACACAAAAGCACATTTCTTGTGTGCTGCTTCTCCTCAATAATTCATAAATTGTCCTTTATCAATATATTATAAGTCAGGAAATTAGAGCTGTGGTTGCAATGTTCATGTGGGATTGTTTCTAGTGGTGATTTGTTGGTGAAAAGATCTTTGATCCAGGGAATTATGTTCTGATTTCTGCCATTTCATAGGATTTTTCTCAGCATTATGAGAATGAACTTTATAATATGCAGAAATGAACTTTATAATATGCAGGAATAAAAAATAAAGAATAATTATTTTTTCTGCTATCTTTGTTTATGTGTTCATTATACCAGTTCAGGGTTTTTTACTTCTGTAGTAGTTGGAAATGAAGCAGAAAACTGTAAGGAACGAAAGGCGGTAAAAGTGCTGTAGCACAAACCGAAGTTTGCTGATGGAATATTGTATTTAAATGCAGTCTGTACATAAACATTTTATCATCTATATTATATTGTGCTTTTAGTATCATTAATGCTACTATTTTAATTGTATTCTGTGTTATTACCTATTTACCAAGGATCTAAATACCGAGGAACTAAATAAGGCTAGGGGTGAATGGCTGGGTGATTATTTATTTATTTATTTTGGCTTGCGTTTCCAAGAATTGATTAAAATTTATAATTCTTACCACAGTAGGAAAATATCTCCCTCTGTTGGTGAAAAGCATTGTTTGGTTGCTAAACCTTGCTTTGAAATAAATCTTACTTTATAGAAAGTAACAGGCATATATTCATGTTTTTCTATAAATTTGAATCTAAAATCAGTATTCTGAGAAAAATCTTAATCAGCTGATTTATTGTAAATTCAATTGCTTATGCTACTCTCAGTTCCAGAGACTGAACCGAAATTAAAATTTCAGTATCAAGCGCAATTGGAGCTAAGAGATGACTTTTAATGATACTGACTTCATTCCATTTCTTTAGATAACCATTATTATTATTATTATTATTATTATTATTATTATTATTATTATTATTATTATTATTATTATTCAGTTGGAAGGGACCTTGGAGGTCATCGAGTCCAACCCCCTGCTCAGGCAGGAAACCCTACACCATTTCGGACAAATGGCTGTCCAGTCTCTTCTTAAAAACTTCCAGTGTTGGAGCATTCACCACTTCTGGAGGCAGGTTGTTCCATTGGTTAATTGTGGCTGAGAACAAAATTTTAAAGTCATACTTGGAAGCTATACATTATTTAAACAAAAACTCTTCTGAATTTAATTTTTAAAATAACTAACTTGGATTTATATTCTTGCTCTTCATGATTGGGAATGAGTAAAAGAGTGAATTGGGTAAGGGAAAACGAGAATTCAATTTTCTGATATGTTGCTCTTTTGTTAGATGAGCACATTTAACTTTGCATAACTTAAGATGAAAAATGTTGTTTTCTCCTTAACAGACATAATTGGTTGCAAAAAAAGTAGATGCTGACAGCACACTGTCTTAACTGTTATTAATTGGAATGCCAAGATTTATTTTTGAGGTTAAATTGTCTATATTGCTCTTTCAGAATTCATGCATAACTTCCAAAAGTGTTAGTTGTACACAAACACACAATACATTAAACTTCATATTGAATTCATGTTATCAAAGGCTTGTTTTGTGCAGATTTGGGGAGACAAGTTAGCCAGGTGAGAGAATCTTAAGATTACACATTTTAATGATTTATTCATTTCAAAATGAAACTGGTATGAACTAAAATGATCATATTGCCTGATGCTATGTTTGAAACTGACCTCATTTCACTTTATCTCCAAATTATTAAGTTTAATAGGATGGATTTCAATCTCTATGCTTGAGCAATTATAGGAGCTACAATGTTCCTGTAGAATTTCAGTTGAATGTCTGTACTTTCAAGTTAAACAATTCTACAGTTTTCAGTAGGAGTCATAAAAAGATATGGATGTCTTCTCCATCAGCTGTACAGTAGTGGCCAAAATTGTGGAAACCTTTTGGGAAAAGTGTATTTTTGAGGTTTGATGACTAATAACACCACTTTCTTTTGGAGTAGTACCATAAAATTATATATCAATGGAAAGATAATTTAATCAAGAACGTAATGTAACCAAGTTTGTTCAATTATCTGTATTGTATTCTATGAAAAGTTATAGCCAAATAACCAGAAAAAGGAAGCACAACTTGCTTGTGATATCAGGTTGATATCAGGTAGCTTTTCTCATCTGATTGTAACCAATGAGCAGGAGTGTTTAGAGAGCCAATCAGGTGTCAACTTGTTTTGGCAATGAGCCAATCAGATCACAGTAGGATTCAGTTATTGATGTCATGTATTGAAGCTGAGAGGAGGACATTTGTCAGTGTGTTATGTGATCGCTATCAAGTTGGTTGGGTTTTTTTGTGTTCTTTCATTTAGTGAGCTTGTAAAACGTAATAAAATTAAAGTAATGGTACAAAGAGTTGACTGGTTGCCCAGAAAGCGATGTAAAATAGTATTATTAAGTGAACAAGGCTACAGTTATAAAGAAATTAGAAGAAAAATTGGTGGAAACTTAACCAAAGGTGGCATTTCTACTGTACACTTTTCTCAAAAGATTTCCACAATTTTGGCCACTGCTGTACTTGTCTGATAGCAACCAAGCATTTAGTGCAACATGGCAGTTCTATTTCACCATTGAATTATCTCAACAGGCCTATGTGCTTGGTACCTTTTGATTAATACCATATAGTTTGGTTTCTTAAGCAATCAGCAAAAGGAATCCAGCAAGGTTACTTGTCCAATGATAACCTCACATTCTCATAGAATTTTAACTGTACCTTGATTGGTGCACAGTTCTACAGTGATGCCACAAATGTTACAAAGATTTTTCAGCCGTTCTCAGAAAACTGTTTCTTCTTAGAGTTTTTTTTCGTATCCTTTCTTGTTTCATTTGGCTAATGAATGGCTAATTTGTTCATTTCTGTGATTTTTATGCTTGAGGAAAGGAAGTTTAAAGGAAACAGAGTCACTGAAGCTTTCCTTTCTCCTCCTGTAACAATAAGAATTTGTTTCTCATTTGAAGTTCTAAATCTATGTCCTAAGTATTTCCACATTTGTCTTCTTGTTCCATTTGGCTGTTTTGTTTAGCTGTTCCTATGTCATAGAGTTTATCAAGCATACCATTAATGCAGCAAACAATGGAAGGACAATTAGACATCTGCCAATAATCTGTATGTCAGATGCTACTTCACAATAATTCACAGTGTAGATAGCAGTGATATAATTCTAAGAATGCTTATACTTTTAGTGACACTTTCATGTAATTTACTGTCATCAATAATTTTATAAAAGAGCATGTCTTTAGAATATATTGCATCTCCACTTGAATTCAGAGCA